TATCTTAGCCGCTATGATGCCTGACATGAGCTTCCATGTTGTAGAGAGACAGGTTATCGGCCGATAGTTGGATGGGACTGATCCCTTTGAGGGATCCTTCTGGATGAGGATCGTGCGCCCTTCAGTTAACCATTCAGGGTGAGTCCCATTTTGTAGCAGCTGGTTCAGTTGAGCTGCCAGTCTCTCATGGAGGGAAGTGAATTTCTTTAGCCAGTAGGCATGGATCATGTCAGGCCCTGGTGCTGTCCAGTTTTTCATACCCGAGACTCTTTCTTGGACATCTGCCACAGTGATGGTTACCGGGGCTCTTAGTTGACATTTCATCCTGGGGAGGTTAAGATAAGCACAGCCTCAAGGCTGTGCCACTGGGAGCCTGGTAACCAGGGTTCTAGAACAGGATGATCCAACCTATAATTGGCCTACGAGTCTATGTTGGTGRGGATCATTATATTTAAAGCATGTGGTAACATTTTAATTGCAACAAAACAATGGGCAACACCGAGCTCATGGTACTTCTCATCAAGCAAGACAACAGAGGGTGGTAAGCTAATGGTAGCTTGCTAGTTTTAGTTCAAATTGGTCTCCAGGTTTCAGAAACCAGGCTGGAAAAGGACCATAACGGCAAATTCAAAATATGAAGAACCCACATTTATAGCCTACATGAGAAGGAGCTCATGAAATGGGACAGCCAATTGGCCTACAAATGGACATCAAAGAGGACGTAGACCCTGAAATGAGACACAGCCTAAAAGACTGGGAAAAACACAGCCTGGTTTGATAAGACTCTGTTCACTGGACTCCACGGTCACCAGAACTCAGTCCAATCGAGAACCTTAGGGATGGAGGAACAGGAGACTTTGTTTTATCCTGTGCAGCTGACAAATCTGCAGCAACATCATGATGCTATCACGTAGATGTGGACCAAACCCTCTGAGCAAAGTTTTCAACTGTTTAAAATTATTTAACACCTCCACACTGTCTACACTCCATCACGCTGCTTATTCATGTTCTGATCGTCACAAGATATTAAGAATTTGAAAATCTGCACCTGTTATCTAGTTGGTTTTGCTTTCAGCATGTCTTCACACACCATTGGCATGAAGCGCACAAAAGAGACTTGCAATAAAAGCATAAAATACTCATGGAAGTGAATACTGACTGTAGACCCTGTTTATCTCATCCACTTATTTTCAGGTTAAAAAATAAACAAATTATTTCACTTTAGAGCGCCTAACTGTCAGGAAAGCTGTAAATGTATTCTGATGTTCATCCAGAGGATTGTTATTGAATGAAAATATTTGTGTGTGTAAATCTTATGGGACTGTTTTTTATGGTAAAATACATTTGACTAGATTTCAGGAAAAGGATTACAAATGTGTTAATGTATTCCTGTCTATAAAGCAAGTTTTGCTTTAGGATAAAGATGCCCGTCGCTACGTGGACGTTTATATGGTTTCATCTTTCAACTCAGCGTGTTCCTGGATATTTACAGATCATTTTAAATGATTTTATGTCAATAAAAAACCAAGTTTTCATGACATAAGTGGGTATCTTTTATCTTGTTGCCTTGTCGTAGTTTCCGTGAAAGCCTTGTTTGTATGAACGTGAGTAAGACCCTTTTCTTGTAGTTTTGTCACATTTTTCACAAACAAATGCAGGTTTTTTAAACACTTTGAAGCTTGTGGTTGTTGGCGACCATTACTTATACATAAACTGTATTTATTTAAAGTTGTAGTATTTGTACTTTGGTTCCTAACATTAYATGTTTTCAGAGGTGCAGTTGKTGGAGCTGCAGCCTCAAAGTTTAACTCGTTAAAGTCGGGCTGACTTACATGTGCCCATATCTGAGCAGCAGTCACAGAGGCCGGTGCTCCAGGTCCCAACACCCTGGCTGGTGGAGGTGACCGTCACCACCTGAGCTGGTTGATATTGGACCGCCATGGCTGCAGAATCGAGGGTAAACACGAAAGCTGTGGAAAAAGAAAGAAAAAGAACACTGTTATTTTACAGAGCTGCAGAGTTAGAGGTGCAGGTTTAATTTTTTGTCACCGACATCCTTCCTTTAAAGGCATGCCATCAGAACATGTTTCAAACACGCTTTTTTGGAACGTGTCAAACTCATGGCCCACAGGCCAAATGTGGCCCACCACTTCACTTTCTGTGACCTGTGAGAGCTTCAAAGATGTAAAGTGTTAATGTTTGCTTTAAAGCCAGCACTGACCACAAACTAGGGCCGCACAATATCAGAAAACCTTGCGAACATGATAATATTTGTAATTGTTGCAATGACGATATCAGATGCGATATATGTCTTTTTTGTTTTCTTTCATTCTTTTCTAATCTGTGCTTCCTACTCTATGTAGCCTTTAGCATTTTTTGGCAATTTCATTTGTATCTGGTGTGAGCTTTGGCTGTCATGAGAACAGGGTTCGACAACATTTTTCCAAATGTTACCTGCTCAACATGAACGATAACAACAYAACTCAGTAAAACTCTTACTTTTATTTGTGGAAAGATGGTAATGCCCATACAGAACACTAGAGGGASACAAAACACAAGACAATTGATCCTAACAACACAGAGCTAAGTATTGTTTGTCAGCGGTGCTCAGACGTAGCAACAAGACAAGGAACATGAAACATCAAAGTTATTTACATCTGGACCTTTGAGGGCCACCATAACACTCATCACACTGTGCATCATAAACTGAACTAACAACTCTTAGAGCTGCAGATGTTTAGTGCATAAATCACATTTTCATTAACCTCTGACCGTCAGTCTGTGAACCACTTCTCCTTTTTATAAAGAATGAAAGCATTATGTTTGTGTCATTCAGTCTGGTTTAAATATCGACCAAACGTGGGTCAGATTTAACCATATCACGTTTATAAATCAATGGCAACTTGGTGGTATTTTTTATAGTTTATCCAACACCAGTTTTATTTAATGTTTATTAAAAAAATCTCTTAACCAGAACTTATTGCTGACCTAAAATCTTTTCAAGCATGTATTTTAAACTTGCTGTTCCACTGAAATGCTTTAAATTTGTGCAAAAAAAAAGAGCATAGGTTGTGCGTCACAATTTTATGGTAGCATAAACAAGGTTACTGGTGTAAATTTGGTCTTAAATATTTCTTTATATTTCTGCTTTACATGATGAGATTGGAACCAAACGAGATTAGAAAACTCGTTTGCTTACATTTAATAAAACCGACTTAATTTTCCTTCGATTTGAACAAATACTTTTGTATTTTTAGCATACTTCAGTGAAGAAAACCTTCAGGAAACCTTACCATAGAAAAGTGTCAGAGGATTGGTGTATATCGTGACCAAAAAAAAAAAAAAAAACCCACAAAACCTCACAGAGGGAGGTGTTCCTGTTGTTGCTGGTTTGAGGTTATCTTGCAGCTAATAAACTTACATCTCTCATTTATTCACTAAACAACTGACTTAAAACAACATTTAAGCTCTTTTGAAGTGGACCTYATGAACAGTATATAGCTGTTGTATTGAGTTAAACTCTATTCCTCCAAACTGAAGTCATTTAAAAAGATTCTACAACAGACCAGATAATGATGGTTCATAACTTATGCATAGAATAACTTTAACAGTGAGGTGCAGGCTGACTGAGGGGTCCTTGTCCCGTGGCTCCTGGTCTGACAGGGTCTCTTGGGTACCCGACCTCAACATTTTGCTGCCGTTCCGCTCCGACAGTCTCATGTCTCAGACTAACCAAATGTTATTTTCTTGTTTTGTTTTTTCCTCTGCTGGTGAAACTAGAAGTAACGATCAGAGACTGAACTTCCCGAGAGCCACATTTAAAATCTCAAAGTTATTCTATTCAAAAGGGGAAAAGGCATCGCTGCTGCAGGCCATTTCATTAGAGCTGAAGTGCTCTCAAGGAAAATATGAACATTTAAAATGCAAAAAGTACATTAAAAAGTGTGTAAGTAATTTACAATTTAACAAGCAAAAAAAAGGAAATTAAAAAACACACAATTATCAATCATTTATCAAAGTATCAAATCCATTTATGGTAAAATTAATAGTTTAAACACACATTTATTCTGCTTTTATTCACATTATGTGTTTGAATTAGACAATTAATAAATTTTAATATTTATCGCTTAAAAGCAGTTTTTCTATAGAAGCAAGGACTTACATAGCAGCTAACTAGCAAAAGGTATAGCGATTTTACTATACATTTAATTTCCAATCACATTTTATTGTTAAAATATTTGTAGATGTATAATTTAACACTATAAGAAAATATCAGGATAAATATATAAGTAAATAAGTGTTGGTTAATCACTGTGTGAAAAACGTGGCCTATAGCTAAATTCTTTTAAATACGGTTACAGAGGATTAAAAATGRTGGAAAAATATTTTTAACATAATATAATACTTTTACATTAAAGTTACAGAAAGCTAACATCTGTAAGTGAGGTTATATTAAGTGTCAAATGTTTGCTTATAACAGCAAATTACAACTTTTACTAGAAATACAGCTCGACAGTCAGTTGAAGGAAAACTGTGACACTCCTTGACCCAGCATGTAAACTACAATAAACTATTAAATGGCTCAAAAATACACTTTAACAAACATTTATCAGTCACACAGCAGTTGTTATAAGACATTTTTATCTGACATAAAGACTTCTTACCTGGTGTAAGTTAAAGACAGCAGGTGAAACCTGGACCAGTCGCTGTGAAATGTGGAGGGAAATATAAAAAAGAGTGATGGGGCTCCGTTAATGTGGGTTTAGTTTCTGTTCCCAGAAAAGACAGCACTCATAACGATATACAACCAGTCCTCAGGGGAGCAATGCACCTGCTTCACATCTCTTTTTTTTTTCTCATATGAAAACGAAGTATTTGCATCATTTGAAATCAGAGAAAAATCATAAACAATTTCTCTCTAAATGAACCTCTTCATATTTCACCTGAAAATAACTTTCACTGATACAACCTGTATCTAAAAGGTGGAGAGGTGGGTTCATACAGTAGCAGAAAAATTCTAACGTGCGATTTTGCGTCCCCGTGAGGCTGTGATGTGTATTAAACACTGTTGTAATACAAACTACGGCCTCAGGGGGGCGCTAAAGTAGCTTTTTTAAATAGGTATTAAAGGCTTTAGTGTTCTTTGAGGAAATGCCGGAGTTTAAGACAAAAATCATCTCCATTTTATTGTCTTGAATATAAAACTTGTTTATTTTTTAAATTAAAAACAATTATTTATCTTTCACTAATATTTATTCAGTTGAAGTTATTTTGTTTTCTTCATGACAAGAAAAAAATTAATTAAAAATTACTGAAGCAAAAAGTCCAAACATTTTCTTCTGCAATGTAGAGTGAAATAAAATCTTTCATTTGGTCAAAGACTGAATGCCTATTTAAGAAAACAAGAAACCAAAGTCTCCAACAACCTGGGGGCTTGTTTAGTGGCCTGAAATCTTTTKAAGGCTCCTCCCCCACTGTTGTGTTGCTCTGGTGCAGCTGATCCTCCATCTTCTTCCTGTAGTTGTTTTTTCCATCCCTGATCTTCCTCCTCAGTTCTTTCTGCACAGCTTGTAAAGAAACAGCTTGTACAGATCAACTCAGATGTATGCGCTAACTTTCAGGAAATTTTTTAATGTCAAAAAGAATCAGCTTCTTTTATATTCTAATTCTTTTTATGTATTTCTGCTTTGTGTCTGCAGTATGTCTTGTCCATGTTCTAAACAACACTGCCCTCAGTGCAGCTCAGTCAAAAAGCTTTCTATGTGTGTTCATGTTAAATATTAATAAAAAATAGCTACTGATTTTTGTAAAAAGCACTCTGGTCAACCAGTTCATAAAGTATAATTTGAGGCCTTGTATCTAACTGAGGCATGCACTAAACTTGACCTAACTTACAGAGTCTTTTCAACCAATTGGTTCAGACTTGTAAATCCTAAAACATCCACTAGATGGCACTGTGTCTTTAAAAATTTGGCCTGTTCAAGTACCTTCCTCACAGGAAGTTAGCATAAGATGAGAATGGGCAGAGAGGASTTTTTGCCAAAAATCTCAAAGGAATTCATATTTCTTTTCTACATACTACAATGTCAGAGGTTTTACTAAACATTATAAAGTAATATTCTGATGAAAAAAAATGTTATGAAGGTCAAATAATTTTCTTAAAACACGTTATCAAATGGTTGATTTGTCCATTCATAATAATGGCACTGACACAAAACTAATATTATTTATTGACTTATGCTGGCATATTCCAACCTCTTTACTGACATATATTCCTAAATTGTCACATTGTTCTTYAATTTTATTGACAAACACTAGATGGACAGCAAAAACTTTTATAGTGCAAGGACACACACAAATATCAGGCTCTGATTCCAGAAGATTCTGATGCAGATCTGAGCGATGATGATGACCAAATAGAAAATCTTGACTATCATCCTACACAAGAGGAAGATGAAACTTCTTTTGAGTCCACGAGTGAGGAGGAGACTCCATTCACAAGCCAATCTTTGAAAACACCACCCTGTAAGAAGAGATGTAAARAACAAAATACACTGAGAAAAAAAAGGGTAACCAAACCAGAGCAAATCTCACATCCAAGATTCAAAGAATRCCACTCTCAGAATCTGGAAATGTGAAGAAGCCGATGAATTCAATGGGCCTCATGCAAGAACCGTTCGTACGCACAGATTTGTTCTTAA